CGGACATGTTTGCTTGTGGATCCTGTTTGAGGCGTTCTCTCTAACCCGTTCTCTCTTTTGGTGGTCCTAAGGGACAATGAGAGGCTTCGGGGAGGCTGACCTTTGCGGACGGACACGCAAGGGTGCCGCACGCCTTAGGCAAAACCAGCTAAGGTCGTGACAACATGTTGGGTAGTTAAAACATACAGTTGAACACTTTTAGATATTAGTTATGGTGTGTCTGGTGGACATCATCTATAGGCTTGCAACCTGGACTTATGACTTCATGATGGTGTATTTCGTGCCAACCGACCATGCTGGTCTTTCGTCAATCCAGTATGTATCGGTCTATACAAGCATACCGACACATGGTACGTTGGAACATGTTGATAGTTCAAAAAAATATCTAAAAAATCTCTAAAAATACCTAAAAATTAGGAAAACCCTAAATTAGGGTATTTTAATTGGAACTAAATACAAATTCAGTTCTGTTTTAATAAAAAATATTAAAAAAAGGAAACGTGGATTTATCTTTTCGGGATGTTGATGAGAAGCTTTGCAGTATGTTCTAAAAGGTTCTTTTGTTGATATTGAACATGAGTGAGAATTTGTGAGAAGGAGAGAGTGATTGAGTTAGATAGTGTTAAAAAATGTGATATTGAAATAGGGTGAAAGAGGGAGGAGAAGTGGGGTTAAATAGGCATTCAAATGGATCCAACGGTTAAATAGGCATTGCGGTTGAAATCCGACCATTACCAACTGCTAAAGGTTGGTAACGATCAAATTTTGATCGTTTTGCCTAGTATGAAGGATGTATCGCTCGATACACCCCCCCAACTGCTATACTGCTCAGTACAGGGCGATATGTCAAACCATGCTATATAGCATGTCTGTACTGTCCACGTCAGACACTGACACAGTTGGACACTTTTAGCACATGTTGGGTTTAAAACATATTAAACTCTTGTCCATCAGGTCACTGATATTAGTTATTGTATGTATGGTAGACATCATCTATAGGTTTGCCACATGTTGGGTAGTTAAAACATACTACTCTTGTCCATCAACAGTCATTGATATTAGTTATTGCGTGTCCGGTGGACATCATCTATAGGCTTGCAACTTGGACTTATGACTTCATGATGGTGTATTTTGTGCCAACCAACCATGCTGGTCTTTCACCGATCCAGTATATATAGGTCTATACAAGCATACCGACACATGGTACGCTGGAACATGCTGATAGTTCAAAAAAATATCTAAAAAATCTCTAAAAATACCTAAAAATGAGGAAAACCCTAAATTAGGGTATTTTAATTGGAATTAAATGCAAATTCAGTTATGTTTTAATTCAAAAAATATTTAAAAAAGAAGGAAAAGTGGATTTATCTTTTCGAGATGTTGATGAGTAGCTTTGCAGTATGTTCTAAAAGGTTCTTTTGTTGATATTGAACATGAGTGAGAATTTGTGAGAATGAGAGAGTGGTTGAGTTAGATAGTGTTAAAAAATGTGATATTGAAATAGGGTGAAAGAGGGAGGAGAAGTGGGGTTAAATAGACATTCAAATGGATCCAACAGTCAAATTGACGATTGGAACCAATTCATTCTGGGCCCTTGATTGATTCTGGTTGAAATCCGACCATTACCAACCGGTATAGGTTGGTAACGATCAAATTTTGATCGTTTTGCCTAGTATGAAGGATGTATCGCTCGATACACCCCCCTAACTGCTATACTGCTCGATACAGGGCGATATGTCAAACCATGCTATATAGTATATCTGTACTGTCCACGTCAGACACTGACACAGTTGGACACTTTCAGCACATGTTGGGTATTTAAAATATATTAGACTCTTGTCCATCAGGTCATTGATATTAGTTATTGTATGTATGGTAGACATCATCTATAGGTTTGTAACTTGGACTTTTGACTTCATGATGGTGTCTATATACTATATGGTATATACATGTTTGAAGTATTTGTGTGAACATTTGTTCTGTAGATGTATAGTTAACATGTTTTTTTCTTAAGTTGCTTTTATGATGATTGTATAATTGTCGATATCTTACAAAGTATAAAATCAAAACAACATAGGAGTATATATATTTATTATTTGACATGTTGTGTTCTTTTATACGATTTGTCATGTCAGCATTCCCATATTGTGTTGTATCTAAGGTTCTAAATTTCGAATGGTACCGCTCGTATCGAGCGGTATGTATCGGTCCGTCAGTAGACCAGTACACGGACCGCCTGCTACTGGGCGGAATGCTTGATCTAGCCTCGTATCGGACGATACATGGTTGTATCGGACGGTAACGATCGAAATTTTGACCGTTACAGCCCGAAACAGGTCGCCCGAAATTTTCAACCGTGACTTCCCGCTACCGGGCGGTATCAGCCTGGCTGCGGCAAGGGAAGAAGAAGCGTCAAGAGAGAAGGAAGAAGAAAGAGATAGCATTCGAAGAAGAAGGAGACTCGGGAGAACCTTGACACGTCCCGATCCGACACCGCCCTCCCTCGACGATCTCGATCCAGGAGGTAACGACTAGGCGACGGCTAGGGCAGCGGAAGAGGTGGTCTCCTCCATCACCTCGTCTGAAATTTTGGGCTTCTTCGTTGTGTTCTTCACCGAAGATCGGAGACGTCTGCGGCCTTCAACGTCTTCACTGCTTTCTTCGCCAAATGCCGCAGATGAGGAGATGAAGGAGTCCACATTCTTCTCCTCGTTTGAGGCAACAAGGAGAAGAGGAGGAGGCGACATCGTTGAGGTAGCGTACGCCTCCTTTTTAGATTTTTTTTTTATATTATTATTATTATTTTTTTAAATATTTTATATAAAAATTTCAATTCTTGGTTGTATCCATCTCAATACTTTATAGGTTGTAGCTAAGGCTTCTGCAAATACAGTGTTCTTGGAGGACCAACATATGGAACCTTATGGAGCAACCTTATGCAGGGTTAATGTAAGCAGGGAGTTCATTTCTGGAAGAGTTGACACTAAACACTAAGTCATAATGGAGCAATATCACTATGGCACCAATTTGCCCTTTTGATGAGCCCAAAAGAATTCTTTTGACAATTAAAACAAAATTTCAAGAAAGAAATTCAATTTTGTTAATCACATCCATATTCATGTGACACTATTGTAAGATTTTCTTTTCATAGGTTTATTGTAAGAAATTCGTTATCCTGTTAATCCTTTTTCTTTATGAGAGATGTAGCTTTGTCTGCAGAAAATAGTAGTTTGTTTTTCTGGTTATTCCTTTGTTCATACTTAAGAATGGTAGAACATTTTTCAGAAGAATATGAAATCTTTCTTTTAATCAAGCACCATCTTCTGTGAGCTCATAATACTGCTTCTCATCTTAAAGCAAGTATTTGAAATTTCATGAACAGGTTGGTTGCATTACACGGCTCGTACCACAGAAAGGTGTGCATCTTATCAGACATGCAATATACCGTACACTGGAGTTGGGAGGACAGTTTGTGCTTCTTGGTTCAAGTCCAGTGGCCCACATTCAAGTAATGTCTCTTTTGTTGAAAAGCAGTCTATCAGTTTTATGGATGGTTCCTTATTTTCACATAAAAAATGTTTGTTAAGGTTTTAGATACCAGTTGCGATGATAAGTATCAACTTGTATTTACCAGTCCACTGGTCCAACCAAGTATGACATCAAAACATATATATTGATATTAGATGTGATTAACCATTCTTTTGTCCCTTATTTATTTTACTCAATGACACCAGACAGTTTAGGTCGGTATACTACCGGTAAACTGGTATTGTAGTGGTCAAATAGGTTACCGAGATTATATCAGACCAGTATTCTTACTACACAAGCAATGAATGATCTTTGAGTTCTTCCTGTTTTATGGCATTTGTTATGAACTTTAGATATGTTACTTGGACATGAAACATGTATGCTATATATACAGGAAATCCAAAATGATTGGACATGGGATTCCCAAGAGACCTTACATGAGGATTTCTTGATATATGAGTGTGCTTGTATTATATGGACAAATGTTGTTGGTAGTTTTATAGAATAAATAAACATATGTTAGCTTTTCTCAGGAGTTAACCTCTAAGAAATTATGGTTTCTGCATCATGGTTTATGAATTATCATGAATATGAATTATTCAAAATTATGTCACAATTCTTGTATGTTATTTCTACTTAAGCAGGTAGTTGACAGATTACATAAATATTTAATCAAAACAGTGAAAGTCTTAATAGACTTGAGTTTAATTTTTACTTTAAGAGGATCCAAAGTAAGCATTTGAGTCTACATTAATCAGTATAGACTCATCTACCCTTATAAACCACTAAAACATTCTTCCCTTTCTTATCTGACTAATCAGGGCGCCCATTATGGAGGCACAATTAGAACATAAAATAAAAACGTAATTTTGAGTTGATCCTATTTTCTTCTTTGTTTATCTGCAATTACTTCCTTGCATGAGGCTGTTTTTCTTTGTCAATGACAAACAGCATGTCTCTAAAGATTACTTTATCTTGCAGCAAGAGTTTGAGGGCATTGCAAATCATTTCCAAAGCCACTCTCATGTTCGATTGCTCTTGAAATATGATGATGCTCTTTCACACTTGATTTATGCAGCATCTGACATGTTTATTATTCCATCAATGTTTGAGCCTTGTGGCCTTACCCAGGTATGGTCTTTATGCTATTCTCTGCCAATTGTTATTTATCTGGACCTATTTTATGGCTTCTGTATACAAAAGCTTCTCGCCTATACCATTTCGAAGGCAGCATCTTGTTAGTTACAAAGACGGTGTTTACATGACACTAGAACTAGCTCAGATTACTCCATTATTGTATGGATGTCTTTTTGTGTTGATTTTGAAACTAGTTTTTCAATGTATGTGATAATACAGATGATTGCTATGAGATATGGTTCTGTGCCAATTGTAAGAAAAACTGGCGGGCTGAATGATAGGTAGGTGCCTAATTAGATTGTTCCTTACTGGTGTCGCCATGTACAAATATTTGT